GGCCGGGTACCCGACCGGGTCAAGTACTCACCCGACCGGGTCTGGTCAAAATCAGATATTTCCCCACGTTTTGGTGATCTTTGCACACCGGGTTGTCCCCGGTCACTTCTCGCCCGACCGGGTGAGGTATAAGGCCTGACCGGGCCCAACTGTTTCCTCAGTGCTTCGGTTTTCAAATCAGACCCGACCGGGTGCAATTTTCTACCCGGCCGGGTATTTGCTTCTGGACAGTTAAAATTCCTTTTTCTTCACTTCAACATCCTCCTTTCCAACATCCTAATTCCTAATTCTACTTTAAAACTTACAAATGAGAACTAAAATACAATTACAACTAAAATCACACAAATGTTTACAAACCAAATAAAACGTCAAACAATCACCATCAATGAAACATAAAAACATACAATTATGCACTACTAATTAGTGTGCATCACTGCCATAAAACGTGACTCCAGACGGTCCCATATAATAGATGAAGTTTTCAGGGTATGAACTTCAACGAGTATATCACGTGACAAAGTAGCAAACAGCCATGAACGGACTGTTTGATCTAACTTTAGTCAGTAATAAAACTCATTGTTAGCAATTTCTCTCCGAAGATTATCAAAAATAGTAGAAGGAGAAGGAGAAATTGTACCATCAAGAATGCCCATTAATCCATGAGATACCAAAAAGGACTCGAATTGTGTGCGTCATGGAAGGTAATCTTCGACAACATCAAGCTTGGTAGTGACAATATTGGTGACGTTGGGGGCTGAAAATCCCATAGATTGAGCAATAGCCTCAAGGGAACCGACTGCCATGGAGGGAGGATGACGTCCAATCGCCCGGAGAGATGCGGGAGGAGCCAAACCTTGTTGGCCAGTCATGGTTGCACCACCAAACGGGGCCCTGGAGGACTCTGCCGTGACCGGCGGATCGGAGATTGATAGAACTGGTTGCCGGGAAGGAGTCGGCGGTGACCAGTCGAACGTCGGCGGAACCCAGGCGGACATGTCCGGTGCGCTGCTCATCGGAAAAGGCCTGGAGAGAGACTGCTGCATCACGGAGGAGGAACCAAAAAACGGACCTGCCGGTGCCGTCGATGTCACGGTTGAAGGAGGCGTGGAAACGGCGGTCTGCGAATTTGAGACTGGCGGCGCAACCGTAGGGTTGCTGGCGGCGGCCGTGCTCATGGCGGAAGACGGAAAAAAAAAATTAAATAACCCTAGCTCTTGATACCATGTGAGAAATAATAACAGGTTTACCTAGACTGGTAGCCCTGACAGTATATATATAAGAAATAAGTATCTGAGTACAATTAGAAAACTACCTAATAATTAATACTTAATTAATTCTACACTATTACATATGGCATCCCAACAGCTTCAGTTTTTATGCGGCGTTTCTTCAAGCTGCAATAATAATAATCATACTACCACTCAGTGGCGGAGCCAGAGGTTTGTCCAAGGAGGGGCAAACCAAAGACTAAAAATTTTAAAGTTCGTGTCCAAAATATAATAAGAACAACAATAGCGTAATAATATAACAAAAAATTATAGTTCATTACATACTACTTGATTTACTTCTGCAACCTAGGCAAATCAATCCTACGAGTTTTCATATTTTGAAAATGCTGCATAATAGCTTCATTATCAATTGCTTGAAAAATGTCTCTTTCGATGTAGCATACTAAGCAATCCGTAAGATAGTCATCTCCCATCTTATTGCGAAGATCTGTCTTGATAATATTCATCGATGAGAAAGCTCTTTCAACTATGGCTGTTGCAACTGGTAACACTAGAGCCAACTCAATAAGACGATAGACCAAGTGAAAAGATTTGTGAATTGTAAGCTCAACCATCTTCTTAGACACTTCACCAATACTTTGTAAAGTGGAAAATGCTTCATTTCCTCTCATCTCATATATCCAAACTTGGAGTTGTTCTTTAAGCTCCATTTGCTCAACAGCTGAAAAATCAGATGAATATAACTCCGCAAGACTGAGTAGCTTTGACTCACAGAAATTGGAAAAATTATCTTTAGGATCAAGGCAAGCTAAACAAGCGAGTAAATCTGTATTTGACTCACTAAAGCGATTCTCCATTTCCAGATTGACCTGGTCTATAACCTACAATAAGGTAATAATAAAAAGTAGTAGTAATAGTAATAATAATGATAATATTAATAATAACAACTAATAAATAATTTAAATTTTATTAAAAAATATCTGATAAAAAATATCAGTTCGAAAGTGATGATAATTTGTTACCGGATGGCGAACACGTCTAGAACGATGGGTTGTATCTTCCATGTTTAGAATGTCAATTTTATTCTTCACACAAAATTTACTGACATCTTCTAATAGCTCTTCCCATCCACTTTCTCTCAAATCTTGGAACTTCTCTTTAGTGCTTTTAATCAAGCTCACAGCCTCAAGAATGTTCTGATCTTTTTGTTGCAAGAAATGTGACAACATATTCGTCAATCCCAATACCTTCTTCATCAAGTGGGCTATAAAAACAAATTGATAGCTCTCCATTTTTTCAACCAAACTACTAGCTTTGCCCCTTGATTTCGAATCAATTCCATCATCAAATATATTGTCAAGCACTTGAATTGTTGGAGACCACAAAGTTAGAATACGAATAATGGTTGTAAAATGTGAACCACATCGAGTAGCTCCCGGTCGTGCTAAAGTACTTTCTTGATTCAATCCTCTCTCGGTCGTAATTTCACCTTTTTCTAACATGGCTACCATGTTTTCATGATGTTTTTGGCGAAATTCATCTTTTCTTTTACAAGCGGATCCAACCATGTTAGTAATCATGGACAAATATTCAAAGAAATCACTCACAAAATTATTTTTTTGAGAAACAGCCACGACAACTAATTGCAATTGGTGAGCAAAACAATGAATATATCTCGCATGTGGATTTTCATTCAAGATAAGAGTCTTCAATCCATTCAACTCACCTCGCATATTAGAAGCTCCATCATACCCTTGTCCTCGAACTCTAGACATTGATAATTCATGTTTTGAAAAAAAATCATCAATGCCACTTTTTAAAGAAAGAGATGTGGTCTCAACAACATGCTTAACCCCAAGGAACCGCTCAATCACAACTCCATGATCGTTTACATATCTCACAACAACTGCCATTTGTTCTTTCACAGAACTATCACGAGCTTCATCAATCAATAAAGAAAAAAACTTGTCACCAAGATCATTTATTATGGCTTTTGTTGTTTGTGATGCGCAGGCATTAATAATATCTTTTTGAATCATAGGACTAGTAAGTTGGTGATTCGAAGGTGCATTGTCTTTCATCACTTTTGCCACATCGGCATTGCGTGCACTATACCATTCTAGCAATTCCAAGAAATTTCCTCTATTTAATGAGCTCTCTCGCTCATTATGACCACGAAAAGCCAATCCTTGTGCAATTAAAAATCTAGCACAATCCACACTTGCATTCAAACGAGTACGGTATGCCGCACCCAACAGTTGTGTTCCTGAAGAGAGACTTCTTGAAATACTTTGTTTTTTATTTTTGAAAGCAAAAAATTGTGTTCTAGCATCATTGTGCACACTCTCTACAATACCAACATGATCTCTAAATTTTTCAGGAGCTTTCTTCCAATTACGGAATCCGGTCCTCACAAACACATCATCACCAAATCTCTTTCCTTCATGCCCATGAAAAAGGTAACACCAAAAACAGAAAGCGACATCTTTAGATATACTATATTCCAACCATTCCCAAGTTTTAAACCACTCTCCTCGAAAGCTCCTTAATGTCTTACCAAATTCAGTTCGTGGAAACTTATGAGATGCTGGTTGACAAGCACCTTTAACAACATATGCTCTCATCACATCATCCCTAATCCCCGGCGCATATTCATTAATTGGTTTTCGTAAAAATGGATCACTAATAATATCTCATTCATGTGTACTTTCTGTTCGGGCTCTCTTGTCCCTCTCATTACTCTCATCTCTAGCAATATTTTCATTTGACGCAGTGGCATTTTCAACACTAGAGATAGACTGATTAGGAACAATTGAAGAACTAACACCTCCAATCAAAGACCTCTTAGTCTTAATTACAAATTTATCCAAACTCATACTCCTAAATATAACAAAAATAAGTATGAATTAAAAATGTTCCTTATACAAATAGCATTAAATTGCATCTAGAACTGAGATTTGAGGATTCACACAAATAATTTCTGACTTTTCGTTAGGGATGAGAGCAAATAATTAATATGGGCATAAATTGGCAGATGAGAAACTTACTTGAAAATTGCAGAATCTGAGAACAAATGAGGAGAAATGAGAACTAGGGCTGGATTCGGTTCGGGAACCGAACCGAAATAGGAAATATCCGAACCGAACCGATCTTTCGGTTTCGTATATTCTATAACCCGAAACCGAACCGATCTAAGTTGGGACCCAATTTTTCGGACACCGAATTTTCGGTCCGGTTATTCGGTTTTTTCACAAAAACCGAATGGGTATTCAATATTTGTTTATATTGTAGCTAATACTTGCACTCAAGCTTTACTAGCAACTTAATCTTTATCAACTATGAAGGAGCGATTATATAGGCTCAAATGAGGAGTGAATCCTCTATTTCATCTGGTGTGGGACGAGTTGTAGGCTGAAGAAAATAAAATTGGAAGAATTGGGGCGGAAGAAAAGCAAAACAAGTTTAACTTAATCCGTCCTGGGGGGGATTCGAACACGGGTGATACAAAGGGAGCGTGTTACCTGTCTCCACTGAGCTACTCCGGATTATTGACAAATTGGGATGCCAAATGTATTACATACATTAATCCCCTTTTATTCTATATTTCATTTTTTTTACTTTTTCTGAAAATACTTTTTTATTTATTTTAACACTTCGTCTTAAAATAACCTTAAGTTGTACTTATTGTTTTTAAAATTAAAAAAGAAGCCGGGGCAAGAAACATATTATAAGTAATACTAGTAAAAAAAATTAGTCTGAGCGGGGTGCTTGCCCCCCTTGCCCCCCTAGCTCCTCCACTGCTACCGCTCCTCCATTTGAGACTCTAAAAACCCTCATCACACCCTCTCTTGCCCCACTGCCTTCTCTTCATGAATTTTCATCCACTCATAATAATAACCATCATCAAAGAGATGGCATGTCTTCCCTCTTTGGAGCACCCCAACTCCTTTCCTTGCAGAGATCGACTCCATACTTGTGGTAATTAATTAATTTCAGAAATCAAATATACCCATAGAGTAATCAGAATTTTATTTCTCTGATCTGACTTACTTTTTATCCCCTTTTCTCAAAAAAAATAAGCCAGGCTTTTAATCTTTTTATTAATTAAATAGTTTACTGGCAGCTTGCTAAGCTAATTAGGTTCAGATATAATTTCCTCATATATTCATAGCAGTTAATTAAATTTGCATGTTTATTTGCTTGTGTAGAAATGGAATACTCCCTCCGGTTCTTATTAAAGTTCTCACTTTTCTTTTTGGGATGTCCCTTATTTAAGTTGACACTTCCATTTTAGGAAACAAAACAATGCAAAACAGTGCCAAACAGTGCCAAACAGTGTCCAAACAGTGTCAAATAGTGCCAAACAGTGCACTCCACAGTAAAGTCAAATCCATTTTCTTAATATGTGTGAAGTCAAACTGGGAACTTTAATAAGAACCGGAAGGAGTAATAAAAAGTGCATGATTTAATAACTTGAATAATATATGTGTGTTTTCAATTCTAGGGAATGGGAAAAAACGAATGAGTGCATAATGAGTAGTAAGAAGTTGGGGGTGACATCACTGGCCACGAAGATGAAAAAGTCAACCAGAAAGAAGGTGAGAGAGCCAAGGTTCAGCTTCAAGACCATGAGTGATATGGATGTGTTGGATGATGGGTATAAGTGGAGAAAATATGGCCAAAAAGTTGTCAAGAACACTCACCATCGCAGGTTAAATAATTAATTAGTTGCTACTATGCATACATACTGTTTTATTACGGCCTATCTTTACTTTAATTAATTAATTACAATCAAATGGACAACCTTAATTATATTAAAGCTATGTGAATTTCAATCACAAGTCCAACACTATATATACAATCAATATACCTAGCAAAGCTAGCTAGCTAGATTTGTCATTTTACGTAATACTCAAGTACGGGAGTAGTAAATTAATTAAACCAGCTTTAGTGGGTGTTTGACAGAGGGCCGTCTGTGTGAACGCCTAGGGGAGAATTAAAATGAGCCTAATGTTACAAACAAAAAATTCTAGAACGCCTAGGACTAAAAATCAGCCTACTCACATCTATTATAGAGAACTAAACACGATCCTATTTTTTACCCATTGTTTTGGGCCTAGGGCCCACCTTGCCTCCTAGGGCCGCCCCTGGTTGGACATGTATATTTATTTGAGGGCGTGTAATGGGGGTGGGTGAATCGTGAATGAGATTGCGATTAACCCAAGTCATATAGCGAAAAAAGGATGACACCCCATCTCTGAGGCCCCCCAAACACCGATCGGACGTTACGTTGAGAGGATGTAAATTGGATTATATATAATCACAATCTGACAGATAGAGAGTGAGGCTCTGTCCCCGGTACTTGCATAGGCCTTATGCATTTTTTAGCATAGTAACCTCTCATCGCAGTTATCGAGATTCGAACCTCGGACCTAATCCTTGTGTCACTCCCTCGCTACCAGTTGAGCTACGTCCACCAATAACCCAAGTCATATAGATGCTCTATTATATGAGCAGTTAATTAAGTTAAACTAATTGGTCTTTGATAGATCAATCTAAAAGCATATGAATGAGAGTGAATGTGATGGATGGAGGCGGGGACCTTAGTTCTTTGTTTTTTACACATAGTATAATACTTTGATTTAGAGCCCGTTTGGTATCACGAAAATTGGCTGATTTGGCTGATTCTGCTGAAATTTATAAAGTTGTGGCTGAAATGGCTGCATTGGGTGATTCTGTTGATTTAAGAAAAATATTTTTAAAATATATTTTATTAATAAAATAAAGAAAAAGTTGTATGTAAAAATAGCTAAAATGGTCATCTACAGTAACTTCAGCCAATACAGTCATAAAAGTAACTCCAACCTTACCTTTTTTGCTTATTACACAATTCAGCGTGCGAAAGCAAAAGTTACGTGTTTGGTAAAAAAGTTGGCTGATAAGCCTGATAAACCGAAAAACAGTGTTGCCAAACGGTCTCAAACTTTTTCGATGCAATTTTTATGGTATGTTCTTCATCAAGTCTAGTTTATCAACAAAAAGTTTCAGCTCAAAATTCGATTGGGAAAGCCGTCAAATAATTTTTGGAAGTTAACTGCGCAAAATTATACATAGAAAATTGCAGTCAACTTCCAAAAATTATTTGACGGCTTTCCCGATCTAATTTTGAGCTGAAATTTTTTGTGGATAAACTAGACTTGATGAAGAACATACCATAAAAAGTTCATAAAACACTTTCACCGAGAACCGCCCTGAAACAGTGGTGTTTGGACGGCGCCTCAGGTTCGAACGTTCGGACCTGAGAATTTTCCTATATACAAAGTATATAGTAGTATTTCTGTCCCGCCAGGCCGAAAAAGAGGGTGGTCCGGCAAGGCCGGACATGATGGTTGTCCGTCCGCCTCAATTTGAAGTGATTTCCGGTGTCTTTTTTTGCTGAATTTTTTTGTGTAGTTCTTTATCAAATCTAGTTCATCCATACCAAATTTGAGCAAAAAATTCAATCGAGAAGATCGTCGAATGATTTTTTGTGTATGTTCTCATTTGAGAACAAGGTCGTGATACGGCTCTAACTACCAACCATACAAAAAAGCTGGAATAATTTCCTTAATTCTGTTTTTTTATCGTTTTTTATTTGAAAAGATTCTATGGAAGTAATTTTTCCTGGAAGTTCACTTTGAGGATCTGGGCAATTAGTGCATGAGTTGGACTTGGGGTACACACTTTTTTGTGTACACACTTTTTTGTGTACACACTTTTTACACATGTCGGTGTAACGTTTTTTTTATGTCTGTACAGACATAACGTAATTTAAAAATACGTTATGTTCATCGGTGCATGTTCCGAATTCCGATGATAATTTAACTAAATTTCTTACATGATAAAAAGGTGAACTTAAGAGCAAATTGATACCTCGTTTTGTTTTTACTTTTTGCTTTTAAAATTTAGTTTTTTCAAATATAATTTTAATAAAGCTCCCCATCAGCATGACATATACGGTATTATTTTCAGCAAATCATAGTATTTCCATTTTCCAATGCTTTAGCACTTAGAATTAGTAACACGCAAATCGGTTGATTTGGTTGATTCTGCTGAAATTTATGAAGTTCTGGTTGAAGTGGCTGAATTAGATGATTCTGCTGATTTAAGAAAAAAATAATTTTAAAAATATTTTATTAATAAAATAAAGAAAAAATTATATGCAAAAATAGCTAAAATGGTCATCTACAATAACGTCAGTCAATATAGCAAGAAAAGTAACTTCAACCTTACTTTTTCTGCTTATTACACAATTCAACGCGCGAAATCAAATGTTACATGTTTGATGAAAAAGTTGTCTGATAAGCCTGATAAATCGAAAAAGGGTGCTTCCGCTCTAAATTCTCACCACTGTAATCATGAGTTTAAGAGTTGGTTTCGTAATTCTTTTTTCAACTGGTCTAATATATTACGGACTTGAGTATATATATTTTCAAATAATAAACTTTTGATTTGTTTGTGTAATAATCCAAACGACACAAATTGGCATTATAATTGAATGGCGAAAAACTACCAGTTTAACGATTTCATATAGTTTAGTTTATTTTATTACTAAATCATATTTATAAACTATTTTGAGGTTTGCTCTAAATCGCAAATGTTTTCTTAGACTAATTTATTCAGTTAATTACTGGGGTTGAAACCGTCCAATGTGAATGTTGTAATACCCAAAATGATTGAAGGAGCAAATATTGATCGATATGAATTCATGGAAGGCGATTTGATACTCTTATGATCTGATAATCTTTCTATATACAAAACGGAGTGGAATGGCAAGCAGAGTTTCCCGCCCAATTCCACTCCCAAAAACAGGTCGGACGCGCAAAAACGGGTCGGGGCCACAATGCATGTGCGATTTGGATGTTTCCATTTAATGTTTGCTGCTTTAGTTGCGTTTTGGATTAGAACCGGATGCAGCCTGACAAAGAGCAATTAATTATATGTAGCAACATGTCTCTTCAAATCTTTATTTTACATTTAATGAAGCGAGATCTCATATCTTATAGAATCTCACCTTAAAGTACAACATTAAATGTTATACAACTGAGGAGGCCAATTCAAAAGTCTAATTGAAACCCATCGGACAAAAATGTGTGAATACACGTTAAATCCAGAGCAATATTGTTCTCTAGAGCAGTATAAATACCATACACGTTAATGTTTGCTGCTTTAGTTGCATTTTGGATTAGAACCGGGTGCAGCCTGACAAAGAGCAATTAATTATATGTAGCAACATGTCTCTTCAAATCTTTATTTTGCATTTAGTGAAGAGAGATCTCATATCTTATAGAATCTCACTTTAAAGTACAACATTAAATGCTATACAACTGAGGAGGCCAATTCAAAAGTCTAATTGAAACCCATCGGACAAAAATGTGTGAATACACGATAAATCCAGAGCAATATTGTTCTCTAGAGCAGTATAAATACCATACCACAGTCAGTTAATTTCGCATCCCACACACAACACTCAACACTCTTCATATTTGATATTTGATATATTTGATATTTCAATGGCAGGAAATCAAGGAATGTATTCATTCCTTAGGGAGGTTGATCACATCAAGACCACTTGGGCTGTGAAGGTGAAAGTAGTCAGGGCTTATGAACTGCCACCACAGGCAAGGGGAGGACAGAGGATGGAGTTGGTGTTAATGGATTCCCAGGTAGCGTTACCAAGGATTGATGTTTCATTTAAATATTTCGATGCATTCACACAATTTAACAACAAAATTCGTGATTGCAGGGAGAAAAGATTCACGGTTTAATAAAGAGGCCACAACTTGGGTTGTTCAGGTCCAAGATACAAGAAAATGGTGTATACGCAATAAGGGAATTCTTGGTGATGGACAACTACTATACTTACAAAGCCACGACCCATGCCTATCTAATTGAGTTTTACGGCAAAACAGTTGTAAAAGATATTAATCCAGATGTTGTGCCAAATAGTGTGTTTGACTTTCAGCAATTTGAGGTTCTTCAAACCTTAAGAGTTGTGGATGACAAACAACTAATGGGTAATTATAAAAATTTCTGTTTTTAAAATTATAAATTAAGTGAAGCAGCCTACATATATATATTTTGGTGCAGATGTTGTGGCGAAGGTGTTGACCAAGGTTACACCTCAAAACCATGTGATTAATGGTAAACCTGAGAGGTTGATGGAGCTCACTCTCGAGGATGCAGAGTATGTATTCTAAAAAATATTCAGATCACAGACCGTGACTAGATTATAAATAATTGTTTAACAATTACTTATTCACAGTGGAAACCGTCTTGGCTGCACCCTATGGAACAACTACATAGACCAGTTTCTAGACTATTACGAAGATCACAAAGAGGACCCAATTTTTGTGATTGTTCAGATGTGCAGGCCAAAACGCTACAAAGGTGCTTAAAATCTTTTTAGGAATGTCCGATTCTTATTTTTCTGCTAAAAACCTTTACATTCCAGGAATCATATCAGTCACGACCTGCTACGATGCTAGCAAGTTAATTATCAATGGAAACACAACTGAACTGGTCGACTTCATGGCACAGTACGTACAATGTTAGTTGTACTATTTTACTGTTTCTAAATTTACACTGCCCTATTATGTAAGTTCTATGTTATAGGTTTCCAGCGGAAGAGAGGGACAATGGGACTTTGACTACTTTGGCTGCTAATTCACAACTTGAAAGTCGTGAAGACATTCTTCGAGGCAATGTGAGCATAACAATGATTGCTGATTTGGTCAAAACAACAGAGGTAAAGTTTTCAAAAATTAGAAAATTCATTTATATCTAATTGATATAAATGGTTAACTTTGATTGAAACAATAGGAAGGGATGTACTGGATATTGGGAGATGTTGTATCAATTGAAAACATTAGAGAATGGTGCTATTTGAGTTGCAACACTTGCAACAAAAAAGTGTTACCAGAAGAAGATAGATTTCTATGTGTCTCATGCAACTTAACACTTCCAGAGGGTATTCTTAGGTATGAGTACCAGAAGTAGATATTTTTTAAAAAAATATTACACTTGAATACAAAAAACGTAGTTAATAATTAAAGTATTTTTATAGGTACAAAATCACTGTGTGTGTGATGGATGATTCCGGTCATTCTTCATTCACACTTTGGGACAGGGAATGTTTAGACATTCTTGGGAAGGCTGCTGCCAAACTAAGGAAGGAAGTGGAGAAGGTATAAATGTTTTCATGCAATTGTCACTTGGATTGCTGTAAACAATATGAACTGATCTAATTTTTTAGACTGCGTATTTTTGTAGAGAACAGGAGATGCTAATCATTTTCCGGAGGACATAGAAGCTGTTATAGATCAAAGGGGATTGTTCAAAGTGCAGTTGAAGAGCAGGGCTGAGAGTAATTCTTACAAAGGATCTATTTCCTACGGAGTCATTTCAATGATAACAGATCAGGAAGTTTTGAAAGTTTATGAAACTCAGAGGATAAACGGGAAAGGTCTTGAGGAACTTTCTGATGTAGAAAAGGTAAATTAGACTATTGGGATTGTAATTAGACTATCTTGGTATGCTAAGACAAAAAGTTGTTATCATAATTATATTTTGTATATGTAAAGAAGAAACATATTAAATAAATATTAACTAATCAAAATATTTCAGAGTGCCTCAACAGCAGACAATATGGAGTGTAGCACAGGACAAACTAAAATTGTTGAAGTTTATGAGCTGGAACAGGTATTGCCTGGGTTAGCAAAATTTGTTGTCATTCCTGTTTTATCATATCTATATTTATCTATATCTATATTTAAACAAAACTTTTTGGATACAGGAACAGGAGGATGGTATCACTCCGACACAAAGTGAACGTAAAAGTATGGGATTTGAAGAAGATGAGAATTTGAAATGAAATCTATTGGGGCAGTTTTCTGCTAATGGCAAAATGTTGAAGACCAAAATTAAAAAGGAACCAGAATAGAGTGCCACTACAAGATAGAAGGATGGACGGGCTTATGTTTTGCTATGACTACCTTATGTTTTGCTATAACTATTTAAGCCCTAGAAAAACATTCTGATCGGATTTCTTTTTTGAAAACTTAAACTTAATGGAGTGGCCTCCATAAACATTATTGTTGTATTGATTGCTATGTGTGGTCCATTTTAGGGCAAATGTAATGTCTATTACCTATTGTTGTGTGTGGTGTATACTATTTTGTTTTGCAGGTTTTCTATTTCCTTAGGGGTGGAGAAACCAGCACAAGTGCAGGCAGAGTCCATGTAATCTAAAAGGACAATCTAAGGGGTTCAAATAACTGAAGTGGTGAGACTAAAGATAGACTACGGAGGTCAAAGATGTGTAAACCTTTTTTTGTTTTCGAAATATCTCAAAATGATAGATATTTTTTATCAATCTATCTATTGTATTAACAGTTCAGAAAATGAATATATTTGGGGCATTTTTAGAAACAATAATTCCAACAGATGAATGAGAGGTATGTTGGAAGCATACCTGGGCATTGTGGCTGTGCAACAAATCCTGCATTCCCTACTTTTAACTAAATAACTTTTAACTAAATAATTATTACAGATCCATTATAAATATTACATGAATGCCAACCATATAAAGGTCCCAGAAACTATAACCTATACATTTTGTAATTTCTAAGTTCTACAATTCGAATTCTAAGAGTTATAAATTGGAACCTGCAAAAATAATGTCAATGAGCAGATGTGAAATAACTTTTCAATTCAAAATACAATATGCAAAATAAGTAACAAATTACCAAAGTCCAAGTAACTAAGAAATTAATGAGGCACATTTATAAGTTGGTGATTATTTGGTAAACCAAATAATATTTTGTTACAATTATGGCACATATGTTTATTTAGCTATGTTGAAATAAGTTACAAATTAACAAAGTACAAATACTTTACTATTTTCACTTGAACAAATAGTTGGATTTACAGTTTTATATTTTCAAAAAACTTTTGATTTCAAAATACAATATTCAAAATAAGTAACAAATTAACAAAGTACAAGTAGTATCCTAATAAATAAACAAAGTACAAATAAGTAACAAATAAACAAAGTACATATACAAAGTACTAATAAGTACTCAAAAAATGCATTTTATAATTCACAAAAAGTGATTTCTCAAAACACCAATACGCCGCATGTTTTGATTCAATTCAAATTGAACACCATTTAATGCATTGTACTGAAATATCTTTGGTCACAGATATTGCATCTCATAGTATGTACTACTAGATATAATTTATCTAAACAAAATCTCATCTCTGTGAAACATTAATGGTAAAGAAGGTCACCATCATTGAAGCTCAAATAGCATTAAATAGCACAGCTAGGGTGGTTACAAAGTCTGTACAAATTGTTGGGAATAACAGGATCGTGCTAATATGAGAGAAAAACACTTCTATTACTTTCAAGAATAGAAAGAAGAGACATACAAGCTCTAATTAAAAAACTCTCAAAACAACATCTCACATATCTCTCAAGGATATTCACAACTCTTCTTGGTTGTGCTATGATGATCTATTCTAATTTACTTGATGATAGAAAGACTCTCCAAGCTCTCTATTTATAGCACCAAAACTAGGTACTATGAAGGTGGGAGGAAGGTGGGATTAAACATAAGCAAACTTTGAGGAAGCTCCCTTTGTCATTCTTGCACATGGATGAAGCTTCATGGTTGTTGCTTGCACATGGAGGAAGCTTCATGGTTGTTGCAATTGAATTCTTCACAAATGAATTAAGTAAATAGCTTTGAGAGAATGTAACTTACCATTGCTCACTAACCACCTGAGAATATCTGTTGGCATATACGGAGTATACAAGTGCAGTTTATAAAGTGAGCATCTAAAAATAAGGATTTACAATTTAAACATTTCCAAAAAAATGCTTATAATTTGATTACAGTCAAAAACAGATTTTCATCGCTGTGATTAATGACGTTAATCAATTCAAAAGAAAAAGGGCAGTTTATACATTAATGCTGAGTTTTTTTAATATTAGGTACCAATATACATGAAAATCCAATCTTTATCTGGTATGTCATAAATTACAGATTACTTATTATATCTATGAAATAATTAAAAATGTCAAAATTGTATATTGCAAGTACAAATAAATTCATGTTTCCTTAACACATTTGGAAATGAAACTGCTTTCTTTTAAAAAATGCAAATATCAGATTTTCTTATAAAGAAAATACAAATTTAATGAATAAAATATGAAAAGTGCAAGTGGTGACATTTAATGTTCAACTTAATTATGTTTAACTAAGTGATTCAGTTCATAATGTTTGCTAATAACCCTTGAAGTGCAAATGGTGACATTTAATATTCATAGTGTCCATCAACAAATTAGGATTTACGATTTTTAGAAATATCTAAAAAATATGCTTAGAATTTTATTTAACTTAAAAAGTATAATCCATGTGCAATTATTATAAAAATTATATTATAGAAAAGGTTCAGAATTACTATAAAACCAGTTGGGAATAACAGGATCGTGCTAATATGAGAGAAAAACACTTCTATTACTTTCAAGAATAGAAAGAAGAGACATACAAGCTCTAATTAAAAAACTCTCAAAACAACACCTCACATATCTCTCAAGGATATTCACAACTCTTCTTGGTTGTGCTATGATGATCTATTCTAATTTACTTGATGATAGAAAGACTCTCCAAGCTCTCTATTTATAGCACCAAAACTAGGTACTATGAAGGTGGGAGGAAGGTGGGATTAAACATGAGGAAACTTTGAGGAAGCTCCCTTTGTCATTCTTGCACATGGATGAAGCTTCATGGTTGTTGCTTGCACATGGAGGAAGCTTCATGGTTGTTGCAATTGGATTCTTCAATTTTCTTGTACTTGGATATGTCCTGGAAATTGAATTCTTCAATTCTCCCCTTCCAGGCATATTCAAAACAAGCATCCCGACTATGTCTCTGCATAGCTCTAGCTTATCTCATGTCACCACCTTTGTCAGCATGTCTGATGGATTCTCCTTTGTATTGATCTTCACTAGTCTCAACAGTTGTTGATCAATCGTCTCCCGTATCCAATGATACCGAATATCAATATGCTTTGTACGAGAATGGTACATAGAGTTCTTGCTCAAGTCTAGAGCACTCTGACTGTCACAATGTACCTGGTACTCTTTCTGGTGGATCCCAAGTTCTTGGAGAAAACGCTTTAGCCACAACATTTCCTTACCTGCTTCAGTGGCAGCAATGTATTCTGCTTCTGTTGTAGATAAAGCGACACACTTCTGCAATCTTGATTGCCAAGAAACAGCTCCCCCTGCAAAAGTGTAGATATATCCTGTAGTAGACTTTCTACTATCAATATCTCCGGCCATATCAGCATCTGTGTAGCCTTCCAAGTTTGGATCAGCTCCTCCGTAACAAAGACATAACTTCGTGGTACCTTTCAAGTATCTGAGAATCCATTTGACTGCCTCCCAATGCTCCTTCCCAGGGTTAGAGAGAAAACGACTTACTGTACCCACTGCTTGTGCGATGTCTGGCCTTGTGCATACCATGGCGTACATCAAACTCCCAACTGCCGAAGAATATGGAACTGCTAACATCTCCCCGATCTCTTCCTTGGATGTAGGGCATGTTCTTTTGCTCAACTTAAAGTGATTCGCAAGTGGAACACTAACTGGTTTGGCATCATTCATGTTGAATCTCTCAAGTACTCGTTCAATGTACTTCTCTTGAGAAAGCCATAACTTGCGATTCTTCCTGTCTCGAGTGATCTGCATCCCAAGAATCTGTTGAGCCGGTCCTAAGTCTTTCATATCAAAAGAGTTAGAGAGTTCTTTCTTCAGCTGGTTTATCATCACTGCATCTTTCCCAACGATCAACATGTCGTCTACATATAGTAGAAGAGCAATGAAAGTACCGTCTGGGAGTTTCTTGATGTCTACACACTCATCTACAGTAGTCTTCTTGTAGCCTTGACTCTTCATGCATGAGTCAAACTTCTTATTCCACTGCCTTGGTGCCTGCTTCAAGCCATACAAACTTTTAGATAACTTACACACAAAGTTATCATTTGAGCTCTCAAAACCTTCCGGCTGCTGCATATAGATTTCTTCTTTCAAATCTCCGTGAAGAAATGCTGTCTTCACATCCATCTGTTCAAGCTCCAAGTTCATACTTGCTGCCAAGCCAAGTATAACTCGGATTGAGGTCATCTTGACAACTGGTGCAAAGATCTCATCAAAGTCAATTCCCTTCTTCTGTTGGAATCCTTTGACAACCAACCGAGCTTTGTGTTTCACCACTTGTCCGCTTGCATCCTTCTTCAGCTTGAACACCCACTTGTTCCTCAGTGCCTTCTTCCCTTTAGGAAGTTCTACAATCTCATAAGTTTGATTTTTCTGCAGAGATTCCAACTCATCCTGCATTGCTATTAGCCATTTTCTTTATCCTTATGAGACACAGCTTCTTGAAAACTCTCCGGTTCTCCATCTTCAGTTAACAAAAGATATTCAGATGATGTGTACCTTTTCGATGGTATATGGCCTCGTTCAGATCTACGAACAGTTGGAACCATCTCAGAAGAGCTACCATCATCTGTGCCTGGCGAGGTGGATTGTGACTCCCCTTGCTCTGTACTCTCTTCTGTCTCCTCATCCTCTTCTGCTTCTGAGTTGTTTTCATGCACTTCGTCATTGTTTCTCAAGAACAATTCAGGTGCTTCATTTGAAACTTGAACACCCTCATTTGACTTCCGAGACATTGTGGATTTTTCAATGTCTTCTATTGTCAAATCTTCATGGAACACAACGTCCCTGCTTCTGAACACCTTTTTCTCCTTAGGATCCCATAACCTGTATCCAAACTCTTCATTTCCATAGCCAACGAAAATGCATGGGATAGTTCTTGCATCGAGCTTCTGTCTGAGCTCTTTGGATACATGTGCATATGATGAACAACCAAAAACTCTAAGATGTGAGTATGTAGGATCCTTACCTGTCCATAGCCTCTCTGGAACTTCAAAGTTCAGTGGTACTGAAGGTGATCGGTTGATAAGATAGCATGCGGTGTTGACTGCTTCTCCCCAAAATGACTTTGGAAGTTTAGCCACATTTAGCATGCTCCGGACACGCTCCATGATAGTCCGGTTCATTCTTTCAGCAACACCGTTGTGCTGAGGGG